CTATGAGCTGAATAAAGGTTACTGCTTTGCTACACCTCTTGTCGCGTCCTCTCCCTTCGCTCCAAGATGTAAAAATATTAGTTATTTCTAAAAAATAATAAAGATGGAACACAAATACATTTTATGTGATGTTCCAGTTTATTTTATTGCCAATGTTATCCATTCTTTGCTGTAACCTTAGATGAAAGTTTTCTTCATGCTTGTGTTTATCAACGTACATGTGGAGATTTCTGTATTGCTTCCTGCTTTGCTTGATGTGGAGTATTTTTAAACCTGTTTTACTCCTTATGCATTCTATATGGATTTAAAGATGGGAGGAATTGGAACTGGAATGACTAATTCTGTCATAAAACACAGAGGATGATTATATTTGGGAGTCAGATGTAATCTAGCGGCTAAAGAGAGCAGGGTTATAAATCTCAGTTCTGCCATGAATGTACTGATGTCTGCAGCCAACTTGTTTCATCTCATCTCTAGTTTGCGAACTGCAATAGGAAATTGCAAAAGGTGCTTAAAAGCCTTTTGTAACCTTTGCTGTAAAGGCAAGAAACAGAAAATAAACGGAAACCATTTGAGAAGAAAGGAAATTAAAAAAAAATGCAGCCTAACCTGGTGCTTTCACTCTTGAGAGTTTAAATTTCACCTGGATGGCCCTGTTCACCTGGCACCTCCCATTTAAAGGTTCAGAGAACTACTTTTGGTGGGAAATAACTTCAGGCTGTGTGACCCCAATAATCCAAGATCAAAAAAATGTGGTTTGACCTAGAAAAAATCTGGGCATTCGAGAAAACAGGCTTGGGAAGATGTTTTTCTCTTGCTTTTAAGCCACAGGATTTGGTTGCTTTTGTGATACACCAAGGCGGTGGAAAAACTGCACTGTCAGAAATTTCCCAGGAGAGGAGAAACACTAGCAACAGGTGAGGCCGTGAGAGAGAAAAGGTGGAGCAAACAGCGTCAAATCTCACCTGTCGCCTGGGAGGGTGGAGGCTGGAATCGGGAAGTAAACAGCGAAACCTGATCAGAAGGAAAGGAATTGGAGATCGCCCAGGTTGATTGTCCGGCTACGGAGCTTTGGTGGATCTCAAGAGTTTGATATCTCCCCTGGAACCTTGGATGGTGTAGATCACCTGTGGGTTTCTTTTCCTGAAGGCAACTTGTTCTATGGGGAAATAGGACAAGCCGGGTCCTGCATGCCAGCTTTTTCTCTGGCCTTTTGAACCCGCCTGCATCCAGTGCTACCAGCATCCTGGCTTGTAAAATCTCCCCAGTCTAACCAGTCTGAGGGACAAGTCTTCCTAGACTATTCTCGAGACTCCATGGCTTCATGGCTTCCTCCAGGAACTCAGAGGAAGAGCCCCTTCGCAGTCCTTTCCCTCTGACTCCCCCACCGGCTCTGGGGGATGAGTACTATCCTTTTGGGGGTGAGGGCCAGCCACCCTTTGTGGGGAATGCTGCTGCCGCTGGAGCTACGGGAGAAGGGGATCCCGAAGACTTGGATCTGGGGGTGCTGCTTCAGAGGAAAGAACAGGACTTGCTGTTGGCAGCGGAATTGGGAAAGATGCTCCTGGAACGTAACGAGGAACTGGAACGACGCTATGATGAACTGATGAAGGAATATTTGGAAGTCAAAGAGGTGAGGCAGGTGGCTGGAATAAGGAACAGGCAGGAGAAGACCTGATATAGACCGAGATTCTTCGGTCTGATGTGAAACTTGCTAGGATTAGGATTGGGGTTGGGATTAGTGCTGGGTGTGGAGTTAGGGTTGGGATTAGGTTTAGGGTTGGAGTTAGGGTTTTGGGTTGGGATTAGTGCTGGGTTTTGAGTTAGGGTTGGATTGGGGTTAGTTGGAGTTAGGATTGGGTTGGGATAAGGGTTGGGGTTGGAGTTAGGATTGGGGTTGGAATTGGGGTTGTTGTTACAGTTGTTGTTAAGGTTGGGTTTAGGGTAAGGGTCAGCCTTGGGGTTGGGTTTAGGATTGGGGTTGTGATTGGGATTAGGCCCTATCATGTTCTGTCCATTCAGCGTATTTTCTAGGTTGCTATGAAAAGAAAAAGAACGTCTCAGAGATGGGAATTTTCTCATGTGCTGTATTGTACTTTCTCGCCAAAGTTACGGATTCAAAATCCTACAGCCCACCCCTTGTTGCTATCTCATCCTTGAACCCTTCACCCTGTTTGTTTCCCAGGTTTCTATTTTCATCCTTCTCACCAAGAGTTTATCACTGGGATTTCACTGGGCATCTACATCCCAGCAACCTTCAAACATCAGACCACATTTTTATTCCTTGTTCAACTCTTTGAATTCTTTCCCATATGAATACATTTAATTGAAAGAAAAAGTCTTAGGTTGCATCAGGACATTCTTTGAAGTAGGAACGTTATAGAGGTAGTCCTCAACTTACAACTGTTCATTTAACAGCCCTGAAAAAAGTGACTTAGCACCATTTTCCACACGTACGTCGGTTGCAGTATCTCCATGGCCATACAATCAAAATTCAGGTGCTTGCAACTGACTCATATTATCCTTGAGATCTTCTGACAAGCAAAGTTAATGGGGAAGCCAGTTTCAGTTAAACAACCGTGTTACTAATTTAACAACAGCAGGATTCACTGAACAACTGTGGCAAGAAAGGTCGCAAAACTAATTTAAATGTCTCACTTAGCAACAGATACTTGGGGCTCAATTATGATCATAAGTCGAGGGCTGCCTGTTAAGTCTTTTTCTTTCATAGGTTTTCTCATTGGAAGGGTAGCAGTTTGACCTCTATGGTGATATTCATGGTTCTACAGCTGTACCTCCACACCCTTCATTCTGTGCACAGATGTGTGCGAACATCCCCATTCACTCCCTCGTATTTACACCTATTTTTATTCAGCACCAAATAATCAATTTCAAAGTTTCTCATTTTGAAATTGCTCCATGCTTTGCTTTTCTCTCTTCTCTTCCATCATTTAATCTTTATTTATTTGAATTTATGAGCTGCCCAATTGCTACTTCTGGGAGTGCCGGTCCAACAGTGGTAGATTTGCCTCTTTGCAACGGAAGAGTTCTGCAGTGGCAGAAGTTCATGGATAAACATGAACTTGTGACATTTAGAGTGGAATTCTGAACAAAATAAATTAGTGCGCAGGTGTGTGTACCAGCTGCATGTAATTCCACAGTGAGTTCAGGGGAGTGAAGTGCAGATGGTAAGGAAAAGAGGCTGTGAGAAGTGAACTCCAAAACTCTGTATAGGTATTTAGTCCACAACTTATGACTACACAACTGGGGCCAGAATTTCCATTGTTAAACCAGATGATTGTTAAATGAGTTGCACCCAATTTTGCAATCATTTATTTTTTCTCCTACGGCTGTTATGTGAATCACTGCAGTCGTGAAGTGAATCCCATGGTCGTTGAGCGAACCCAGTTTCCCGCAATGACTTTGCTTGTTAAAAATCAGCTGGGAAGGTCACAAATAGTAATTACATGAGCCCAGGATGCTGCAACTGTCTTAAATACATGCTGGTTGCTAAGCACCCAAATTCCCATGGCTATGGGGATGCTGCTATTGTCACAAGTGCGAGCACCAGTCATAAATTTTTTCAGTGCCACGGTAACTTTGAATGATTGCTAAACAAATGAGGACTACCTGCACACCAGTGGTGGGTTTCAAATTTTTTTAGAACCTCTTCTGTAGGTGTGGCCTGCTTTGTGGGAGTGGCTTGCCAGCCATGTGAATGAGTGGGAGTGGCTTACCAGCCATGTGACTGGGTGGGCATGGGCAACTTGTAAAATGTGATGAAACTCACTTAACAACACTCTTGTTTAGCAACCAAAAATGTTGGCTCAGGAACTCTGGCAATGAAGTCCACAAGTCTTAAAGCTGTCAAGTTACAAGGCCCTTGCACCTCTAACTTTTTAGAGAAAAAAAACCCAGGGGTGTTCAAACTTGACAGCTTTAAGACTTGTGGACTTCAACTCCCAGAATTCCTCCTTTCACTCGTCATCTTGATGATGTATGCAGACGGGCGGAGGGAGGGAGCTGGCACTGGTTCTAAACGGCACTGTAGATTTGTGGAACCTCTTCTATAGAAGAGGTTAGAACTGGTATGAACCCACCCCTGCTGCATACCCCATCCCAACATAACTCACTGCTGTAGACAGGTTTGTGAGATAGTCTTCTGGAGTTATTTAATTAGAGTTACTAGAATGGCTCAGCCACCATTGCTTCCTGAGGTTTCCTGTGTCTTATCACCAGATCATGATTCACGCAGTTTCATCCATCCCTCTGCTTTCCATGTCACAAAACATGAGAATCAGGAACTTTCTTTGGCAGAAGCTCATCTTCTCCCCTCCCAAGGGCTGTTTCAACACAGAATTGCAAATCAGAAAACATTTCCAAAAGGGTTCAATATATGACTTAACCAGGGGTGAGATTGAAAAATTTAAGCAACCGGTTCTCTGTCTGGATGATGGATGGGCTTGGCCATGGGGGCGTGGCCTAGTTGGCTTCCTGCATCACTCAGGTGGCAGAAGGTGTGTATTTTTGCCCTCCCCAGGCTCTGGAGGCTTTTATTCGAGCCTCCGGAAGGGCGAAAACAGCCTTCCCCAGGGTCTGGAGGGCCTCCGGAGCTGTAAATGGGCCCATTTCCAGACATCTGATACTTCCGGTGGGCCCGTTTTCTGCCCTCCAAGAGCTCCGTACAAGCCCTGCACTTAGCTGGCATGATGAACGGGCTGCCTGGAGAATCCTAGGAGAGGAGGGGGTGGGTGGGTAGGGTCAGCTGGTCCTTGTAACTACCAGTTCGGTGAACCAGATTAAAATTAACATCCAATTGCCCAAAGTGGTCCGAACCGACTGAATCCCACCCCTGGACTTAACACTGGGATCCCCACCCTCACCTCAACCCTGGCCAGGGATCGGCACTTGGCCACAGCATGGCAGAAAGCACGCAAGCAAGCAAAGCGCCATCCACGAGATGCAGGCAGTATGTGAAACCACGCCCCTTCTGGTCCGCGGAAAAACCTCTCTCCATGGAACCGTTCCCTGGTGGCCAAACGGTTGGGGCTGCTGACGCACCAGGAACATATTAAGTGGATTTACATTGTACAGCAAGTCCTCAACTTATGATCACAAATGAATGGGATGAGAATTTCCATTGCTAAGGCAGCCATTAGTCATGACCTATTTTATGACCTTTAAAAATCATAATTTGGCCATTAAGTGAATCTGGCTTCTTCCATTGACTTGTCAGAAGCAGGCAGGGAAATGGTCAAAAATAACAATTAAAGAACCCCAGGTTGCTGTAAATACGTGCGGGTTATTTAGCACCCGACTTCGATCGTGTGACCGTAAGGGTGTGAGGATCAGTCCCAAGTCACTTTTTCATTGCCATTTTAACTTCAAAGTGTTGATAAATGAAGGGTTGTAAGTTGAGGACTACTTGTGATCCCACAAGATACAAATCACCAACATGGGAAAGAATGCTTAATTTGTGAAAGTTTTAGATCTCTACTCAAAACTGGGCAACCATTTGTCTGAACTGATATAGGGTTTCCTACCTGAGCAGGGGGTTGGACTAGAAGACCTCCAAAGTCCCTTTCAACTCTGTTATTCTGTTAAAACATTACGGGTTGCTTCAACTGACCCTATATCTAAAGCATTGTGCCTCTCCCCAGTCAAGATGGACAGAGAATAGAATAGAAACTTGAACATTGGGCACTATCTAATAAATTGAAATTCAATGGTGAAAAGAGTAAGGTTCTACATTTGGGCAACAAAAACAAAATGCACAGATACAGTATAGGTGATACCTTGCTCAATAGTAGTAACTGTGAAAGGTATCTTGGAGTCCTAGTGGGCAACCATTTAAATATGAGCCAGCAGTGTGCAGCAGCTGCCAAAAAAGCCAACACAGTTCTAGGCCGCATAAACAGAGGGATAGAATCAAGATCATGTGAAATGTGTTAATACCAATTTATAATGCCTTGCTAAGGCCACACTTGGAATACTGCATTCAGTTTTGGTCATCACGATGTAGAAAATATGTGGAGACTCTCGAAAGAGTGCAGAGAAGAGCAAAAAAGATGATTAGGGGACTGGACATATGAAGAACGGTTGCAGGAACTAGGTAAGTCTAGTTTAAGAGAAAGAAGGACTAGGGGAGACATGATAGCAGTGTTCCAATATCGCAGGGGTTGCCACAAAGAAGAGGGAGTCAACATTAGGCCTTGCAGATCTGGAAGGTTGCCAGGCTGGTTTTCTTGAAGCTGTGCCAACCACATAAACATTGTTAGTTCTAACATGGGAATTCCCACTTAGCATGTGAAGCAACATTGGCACCTGCTGGAATCACCTCTGTTTTTCAGAGAAGCTTTGCACACTGTTTTTCAGCCCATTCCCTTCCCTACAGAAAAAAATTGCCTTCTTAGCCTCTCATTTCCCCCGTCCCCAAATTCTCTGCTCCCTCGACTTTGACCTCGAATGTAACAGGCACCAACTGGGAATTTCTGGGCATGCTACTGGGAGAACCAGTTTGGCACGGAGGAAGGCACCACAAAACCGACATGAGTCTGCCACCAGGGTGGATATAATTACCTAAGAGGGGAAGAATGAAGGATATAAAAGTGAGAAAGCACCAAGTGTGAGTCA